GCCAGCACTGGAACCCTGGGTTGTGCAGTCTGTCTCACTCTCCCGTTGTTCCTCCTGGTATATCCTCATGCACCCGCCCAGTCTTTAGCTGCTGCCTTGCCACAAGTCTTCTCTTCGCTGGCTGCCCATCTCCACCCCTCCTACTGGTCTGGATGAATGTTTCTTCTTTAACTCCTTTGTTGTCAGACTTCCATACAGTTCTATTTTCTGGCAGTTCTGATTGTTTTTTGTTTTAAATTGGTTGTTTCCTTCTTTTGGTTGTGTGAGGAGGCAAAGCGTATCTACCTATGCCTCCATCTTGGTCAGAATCTTGGGGTGCTTTGTCTTTAATTTGTCCTATATCTTAGTTTTATTTTGACCACTGTATGTGCCTCATCCAGAATTATGTAAGATGTATTTACTAAGTTTTTCTCCATTTCTCAGTTAGACTAACAGTATAGTTGGTGGGCTAAACAGAATCAGAATTTCAAATCTGCTATGCCAAATAGGTAGTTGAAAGTGCTTCAGGTGAAATAACGAAGCTTTAGCTATCTGTTTTTTCATGAAATTTATCCAATTTGACTTCATTCTAATGAGGATTCCTACCCGAACAGAATCTGTGTGTCTTTACAAGTGTATTACTTTTACAGTTTATGCCTTCCCCTGAGATGGTTTGGTTGTAATTGCGCCTTTTTTGTTTGTTTGTTTGTTTGTTTTTGTTTTTAAAGTATATGTTTAGGTTTATCCATGCATGCAATAAGGATTATATAAGATATTGATCATACTAAGGGTGGAGAGTAATGTTTTTAGGTTGAAAACTTTCCTTTTTTAGATAAGCTAACTGCATCTGATAGAAAATTGACTTTTGGGGTCAATTTTACTTAAATACAGCAGGGTTTGGGATTATGTATTTTTTTGAGTATGGCATTTGTCAGAGTTACATGTTCAATATTTTGTTCACATTTTACCAGGCTTTTGGGGTTTTTGTTTGTTTGTTTGTTTTATCCTTAATCAGTCTGCCTTCTGATTACCTTACAGATTCATCTCCTGCTTTTCCATTGGTTATTTGACTCAGTGCCTTGCACATGTCTCTGCCTTGAGTCTCCTCCACTCCCAGCCTCCTCTGCACCCTAAACTTTCTAACCTATATCCATCCTGTCATCTCTCTCTCATTATTACCTTTAATAGGTAACACATTTTGATTACTGCAGGAATCAAGCCATATTGTGATTATACGCTTGCTTGCATATATGTTGCTGCTTTTATAGAGTGGGTGTGTGCCTAGATTTGTCAGTACTCCACATTGTACATGGACCATAGTCGTTGTGTAATAAATGTTTGTCTGAATCAATATGGCAGAAGTTCCAAATTTTATGCCAGTGTGTAAGCTTCATACATCCAGTTTGACAAATCTAATCTTCTTCCTTTTTATCCCCTTCCCTCCAAGACAGCTTTGATATTCATGTCATTTTCTCCCTTGCTCTTATATGATTGTAACATCAGTGGAGCTTTAGTGATTACAAAGCATTTTTTTGGCTACTCTTACCTAACTTTTATAAACTCTGATATGCAGGTAAGGAAATTTAGACTAAGGGTTTAACTGAGTGCATAAGAGTATATAAGTAATAGGGAGACCAACACTCAGATTTTTAGAGTTATTGTCTGCTTTTGGTTTCATTGTATAACAGCTGCCTTTATTCAAGTTATCCCTTCTCCCTTGGCCATCGGCAATTTTTCATTATATAGTCATCAGTATGCTGCTTCAGGGCTGCTCTTTTAAGTGTACTGACAGAAGTTTTATCCATTCCAAAGGTATGTATAAGTAAACACTTAAAGTGTTTATCAGTCAGCTGGCTTAACTTATTTAAAATAACACAAAACCCCCAAAATTTATTATAATGCAATGCAATCATATTTTTCTTTGAGGAAACATACTCGTTTTCTAAGCAAATTTTTGAGTGTTCTGCATTTGCCACCTTCTATATAGAAATACAGAGATGAGCAAAAAGTGACCTGTTCACTGCCCTTATAAGCCCATCTACCTACAGGGAAACTGACATTAACAAAATAATTCCACAGGTAGGTATAACACTGCAATCCTGTTAAGTGCTAGACATGGGAAGTTCATGGTAGTAAACAGTTAAAAAAAAAAAAAGTGGGGGGTGATTTGACCTAGTCATGGAGGCTTTGTCAAGTGGGACATAAGATGGGGGCTAGTTTGCCCAGGGAGGGTTGGGGAGGCAGGAAGTGAGGAAATGCGCCATGTATAGAAAAGCCATTATTGGAGAGGGCAGCCAGTATGGCGGGAATGCTGATCAAGGGGAAGTTTCTGATGAAATGAGGCTGGCATGGGAGTTGGGGACTAGACCATTCAGGGCACAAAGATCCTGGTCTTTATCCTAAAATCAACTGTTTAAGCATCGGTAAGGTAGAACCAGTTAAAAGACTTGCACAGTGCGTAGCAACCTTTCAAGGCCAGGCAGCTTCACTCTGGACCCAGTCAGATGAAAGAAAAGTTGCAGAGCTGTGAGGATGCTTGACATGCCTTTATTCATGGGTAGGTGATCCACGCATGCTACAAGCTGCATTTGTGTCACACTGCATGTCACCTGTCCCCTTTCCTGTCCTAGTGGGGAGCCGCTTGTATACTGAAGGCAGACAAAGCTGGCAGAAAGCCAAAACAGATTGTATAACAGAGAGATTCTGTGCCTGGGAGCCCCCTCAGGGCTGTGGGAGTGCTTATTAGGCCCAGTCTCAAGGCTGTGGGAGAACTCATCGGGCCGTTCTCAAGGCTAAGAACACCGCTTACCGTAGCTCCCCAGACGTCTGGGCGAGGGAGCCAGATTGCCACCATTCACCCTGCACACAGTCGTTAAATAAACAGTGTGCACTTGGTGGTTGGGGAAGTGTGGAGATGGAAGTAGATGATTCAGGGGATATTTAGGAGATAAAGTGTTGGCTTGCTGATGTTTTTGATGGGAAAAGAGTGAGAAAAGGGCAGTTTCAGATATGGGTTTCTAGCTTGAAAAAGCAGTTGGATAGTGGTGTTACTGGGGGTGCTGTTAAGGAATAAACAAGGAGGAAAAAGATCTTGAGTTTAGTTTTTGTGCCTCCAAGGCACCTGAGAAGAGGTCTGCAGTAGGCTATTAGACATACAGGTCTAGGGCTGAAAAGAGAGACCTGGGCTGGTGATAATCAGTTTGTGAATCATTTGTACTGTATATAGGTAACAGTTGAAGCCATTAGAATAGATGAGGTCATCCTGAAAGACTACAGCAAGAAGAGCATATGGTTTAGAAAAAGGTCACAGCACAAAAAGAGGTCATTAAAAGGGAGTGTTCCACAGAGAGGGAATGAAATGACTGGTTTAACCTGTGTTTTCAGATTTATAGTAGGGGTAGGGAACTTCTGAGATTTCAGCTTTAGTCTTAGTTACATATGGTATACTTGTCTAGTACCAAAAGTATTTTAACATACGGTAATATTTGAAAAATTGAAAGTTAATTGTTGCCCTGCGTGGTGGCTAGACGGGGCGCGCCACTGGGGTTGCCGCTCCTCCTGGTCCAGGCAGCAACTGCCAAATGGGGCGGGGCGGGGCGGGGGTAGTGCACCACAGGGAGCGCCGTGCTCCCTGAATATGAGGGGAACTGTCGGGGGCCAGTTGAGATGGGAGCAGGGCTCTGAATTCCACAGAGCCCATCCCGGGGTTGTCACAGGAGAGGGGAATAAACACGAATCATTGCAAACAGTTGTATTTGCCTGGAGAGGGGACAGGGCACATCCCTCTAATGCGGAAGGCCAGAATCCCTTTGTCCAAAGGCTTTTATTGAAAAGGTTATCAATGGGGCTAGGTTAACAGGAATATGCAGGTTATCTCATTATATCCATATGTTAATGTTCACAGAGAATGAGTGATGCTTTGAAGAAAACAAATGGCTGGAACACACTGATTTCCATGGGTCTGAGAGGAGACTAGTAAACAAGAGAGAGGACTAAACTTGAGAACATAGTAAACACAAGAGTGCCAAGGGGTATATAGGGTTAGGATCTGTGAATAATGTAAATGTCCTTCTCAGCAGGAGCTGGCTAGAGCTTCTGAAGGAAGAACAAAGCACACTTTAAAGAATTTACTTTTAGGCCAGATTTCCCTGGGAACACCAGGTCTGGTTTAGGGCTGATTCCTGTATTGTTTCAAGCCTGAGCCAGGCGAGGGGAGGGAGCTGCCAAGTGACAAGGAGACAGCTTTCAGCTAGAATGAGGACTCTGGCCACGTCCAAGCAGACCCGAGAGGTGCGGGCCTTTTTGCCCTTTCTCCGTGTCCCCCAATTTCTTGTCTGCTGCCAATAATCGATCGGCATCTGTCTTAGGTCGTGTACCTCAGCTTGAGGTAACTTACCTGTCCTTGATTAACCAGTCCTCCATGGCAAAGCAGAGAAGCAGGAGCTATGCCATGGGGGACAGGTTTTATCTCCTCAGGAGCCTGTTTCTCCAAGGCCTCCTGATTATTTCCAGCCTTGGGGCCCTCCAGCCTGTTGGTGGGGTTACAGCTCCTGAAACCAGACAGGGCATTTGCCAACAGTTAATGTCCTAAAAGGCTACAAAATCTTCACTTTCTGTAATTACCATCTGGATTATTTTCAGCAGTTTTTTGTTTCTGTAACTGCTTGCCAATGGATTGTACATTTTTTTAACTCTTTGCATTTAGTTATATCTTACAAGGTCTGTGACTGAATAAAATGGTATATTTATTTAAAATCTATCTATACCTCAGTTGTATTTTATTTAAATCTTAGGCTTAACATTTGTGAGCCTTATTGCCCCCAATGACCAAAAATCAGTGGCATACAAACCAAAAAGATTTTTCTACACAATTTAGAGTTTTTTCCTGTATTTTCATTTTCGTATCCCCATTGTGTAGTACGTGGCTTTCATATGGTAGGTGCTTTATAAGTTTTTTCAGAATTGTTGAATTAAAAGTTAAAATAGGATTTTAATATATGTATTTTCTTTCATTTCCTTAGGATGGCTGGCTGTGGTGAAATTGATCACTCAGTAAACATGCTTCCTACGAATAGGAAAGCGAATGAGTCCTGTTCTAATTCTGCACCTTCTCTAACTGTCCCTGAATGTGCCATTTGTCTGCAAACATGTGTTCACCCGGTCAGTCTGCCTTGTAAACATGTTTTCTGCTATCTGTGTGTAAAGGGAGCTTCATGGCTTGGAAAGCGATGTGCCCTCTGTCGACAAGAAATTCCTGAGGATTTCCTTGACAAGCCAACTTTATTGTCACCAGAAGAACTCAAGGCAGCAAGTAGAGGGAATGGTGAATATGCATGGTATTATGAAGGAAGAAACGGGTGGTGGCAGTATGACGAACGCACTAGTAGAGAGCTGGAAGATGCTTTTTCCAAGGGTAAAAAGAGCACTGAAATGTTAATTGCCGGATTTCTGTATGTTGCTGATCTTGAAAACATGGTTCAGTATAGGCGAAATGAACATGGACGTCGCAGGAAAATTAAGCGGGATATAATAGATATACCAAAGAAGGGAGTAGCCGGACTTAGGCTGGACTGTGATGCTAATACCGTAAACTTGGCAAGAGAGAGCTCTGCTGATGGAGCGGACAGTGTATCAGCGCAGAGTGGAGCTTCTGTTCAGCCACTAGTGTCTTCTTCTGTAAGGCCCCTGACATCAGTAGATGGTCAGTTAACAAGCCCTGCAACACCATCCCCTGATGCAAGCGCTTCTTTGGAAGACTCTTTTGCTCATTTACAGCTCATTGGAGACAGCCTGGCTGAAAGGAGTCATAGGGGGGAAGGAGAAGAAGATCGTGAATTACCCTCTTCAGGCAGGGTACCAGCACCAGACACTTCCATTGAAGAAACTGAATCAGATGCCAGTAGTGATAGTGAGGATGTATCAGCTCTTGTTGCACAACACTCCTTGACCCAACAGAGACTCTTGGTTCCTAATGCAAACCAGACAGTATCTGATCGATCAGATCGATCAGGAACTGATGGATCACTAGCAGGGGGTGGAACAGTGAGTAACACTGTCAGATCTAGAAGGCCTGATGGACAGTGCACAGTAACTGAAGTTTAAATAAAACAAGTCTTCAGCTCCATGCTCAAGGTTAAAATTGTCATCTGTAAATTTCTGCCCACATAACATTATACTCATCCCTAATACATTTTGGGAGTTGGGGTGGGGAGGGATATAGGAAGGTTAGACCTGTAATTAAAATGTCTAACATGCTTCTGTTGAGAGATTTATTTAATATAAGGAACTTGGGTGTTAGTAAGTGACAGTTGTTTAGTAATAACAACTCTCCTAGGTGAGAGTTGTTTAGTAATAACCCAGTTTTCTTGAGGTCTGTTTATTTTATAGCTTTTAAAAATTTCTTCAGTTCTTTCAGCCAGCGTGTGTATATTATCTGTGCATCAATGGTCCCATCTGACACTTGGATTTTGTCTTACTTTTCTGCATGGATTGACTTTAAAACCATTAACTAAAATTTGGCACCTATGAGATGTCTGGTATCAGTTTTAACAGGAAGCTTAATGTGAGAATACATGTGAATTTGGGATTTTAAAATAGACAAAAACTTTTAATAGTAAAGTTACTGAAATGGAAATGTAAAGAAAACACCTAATAACTTAATGTTTCATAATCTTGTCTGTAACACATTTCATGGCGTTCCCATAGACTTTGCTGTCTAGTCCTTGTAGTTTGATGTTTCTCTTGATTCACAGCTTTCTTTTTGATTACAAGATTTATAATTTAATAAACACTAGAGTTTATCAAAGATAAATTGTCTCTTGCTTAGGTCTGGAAAGGGGATGGGAAACATTTTGACATCTGTGGCCGAAGGTCACTAAAAATGTGGTGGTTTCAATTGGTGGTATTCAGCTTAAATAAGTTGCCTGCTCAGAGAAGTCTGATGTTTTTTTCATAAGGGAATATTTAAACCGAATTTGCAGGCAATGTGCATGGAATAAATATGTGTGGAAGTAAACCTAAAGCCTATGAGACAAATTTCTTAACAATTGATAGTAGAGAATGTATGATTTTTCTTGCTAGTCTTCTTTAGTGGTCTAACACTCATCTGAATTAAATGGTAGGCTTATTTATAAACAGTAGTAGACACAAAATCACTTTATACAAAATGTTGTAGAACCTGTGGCAAGGTAGGAAGTCTTGGGTTAACTTGGTAATTCAGAGTTTGATTCTGCAAAAAAGTAATATAAGTTGGTCTTGCTACATTTTCCTAACTCAGAACAGTAGGATCATGTTGATGAAACTTATGTGTTAATATGATTTTCAAGTGTGAATTGAATTTTACAAACAGCAAATAAAAACTGTCACCACTATGAAATTATCTCTTACCTCTGTGATATGTTAGAATTGGGACTTAATTCTTTGACTTAAATATTTTTTATAGTCTGTTGCTGATACAATCATGAGTTTGAGTTGTGTGTTATTAAATTTAGTTTTAAAAGTTAAAAAAGAAGAAAGGCTAGTTACTTTTCAGGGAAAACAAATCTGATGTACAATGTAAATGTAGGTTACAGAACACTTCTATGTCGCTTTGCAGCTTTGGGCAGCCTGTAGAAAGTTAAACTTTACTACAATAGTAAAACTTACTTAATTAAACAATAGTAAATTCTGGGTCACACAAATGAATGGCCAGTTTTCTAGTCAGTAGATTTTCCATATGGTGGCTATCATTGCCTAGTAGGTAATTTAAAATAGAAAACTAATTATTAGATAAAATAAGGCTCCAGATTTGTAGGGGGGTGAGGTGGGGAGCATCTTCCATTCTTCATGCCTTCTTAGAGCACAAAATGATTGATGATACCTTTTCTTGTCTCCACTTTTGTTCTTTAATTTCAAGTTGGGTTTTTTGGTTTGCATTTATATTTTAATAATTTCATAATTATATTTACTGATCTTTTTTTAAAGTTAATATTAATTTAATGTGACTTCCCCCCCCCCCCCCCCAAATACATGTCTCCATTTACCCACCACCCCTTTCCCTGCCCCAGCCACTCCCACCCCTCCTTAAATCCCTCCCAACCTTGGCTTCATCCATGTGTCCCTCACACCGGTTTCAAGTTTAAGGTTGTTTTTTGTTTTTGTAAATTACTTCCAGGTAAGGCAGAACAAAGACTCAAGAAAAATAACCCCAGAAAGTTTTTGTGTAGAAGTTTTTCATTTTAAAAACTGGCCTTGGTTATATATATAGGCTAAGAACTAGTATGGGAATTTGGGGATACGTTATAATTTTTACACCAAAAGTGTTGTATATTTTAGCCAAACATTCCAGATTTACTTGGTAAATACCCAAAGATAGTAGTTTCCACGCCCCCCCCCCATCTGTATTTTCACTTTGAGGTTTCAGTTGCCCACAGTTTACTGCAGTCCAAAAATATTAAGTGGAAAATTCCAAAAATAAACCCTAAGTTTTAAATGGCATGCTGTTAGTAGTGTGATGAAATCTTGCATTGTCCTACTCCACTCTGCCCAGGACCGGAATCCCTTTTCCAGCATATCTGGACAAAGTGTTGGTCACTTAGTTGCTGTCTCAGTTATCAGGCTTTTGCAGTATCCCAGTGCTTGTGTTCAAATAAACCTTATTTTACTTAACAATGGCCCCAAAGTGCCAGAATAGTGATGCTGGCAATCTGAATATATCAAACAGAAGCAATGAAGTACTTCCTATAAGTGCAAAGGTGAGTACAGTACAAAAAAGTATTTTGAAAGAACATTCACAGGACTTTTATTAAAATATAACTTTATTAGTTGTTAATCTCTTATAAATTGTGCCTAATTTATAAACTATCATAGGTGTGTAATTAAGGGAAAAAATAGTATACGAGAATTCAGTGTTATCCTCAGTTTCAGGCATCTACTGGGGATCATGGGACCTAATCCCTGCAAGTCAGGGGGTACTAGAGCATACTGCCAACTATGCCAATGATTTTAAGTATTCAAAAAATTATTAAAAACAAACCCAAATACCAGTGATACCCTTCAAAATAATTCTGACATATATCATTTAACTTTTCTATACATTAATCATTGTAGTGCCTCATATCTTAAAACACCTATTTACAGAATTTGCCTTTCCTAGCAATAGCCTCCAAATTTGCAGGTCCACCCCAAAGTGTTCCTAAAAGATCTCTTTCCATCTCTAACGCCTCCTGGAAACAAAGCTCTTTGCCTAAAAAAAGAGTTGTTTTCAAAGCTCTAGTTACTTCTGTTGGCCCTTTGATAAACTGCTTTAGCCACTCTTTGGCCTCTTCTAGACATTCAGTTTCATCTGAAGACTGCAAGACCTCATCAACCATTCCTAGGTTTAAAGCTTGCTTGGAATCAATTTTGAGGGCCCCACTCAGCACTTTGAGAGCTTGTCTATGGCCGATAATTTCAGCCAGCCGTGTAGCGCCACCCCAACTTGGTATTATACCCATCTCCTTGTGGACAAATCTGATCTCACTCTCTGTAGTCATTAATCTGTAACAGAAAAAAAGAAAAAAACATAATTTTAACTAATTATATGCTTTAGTCATCAAATACTAAACATTCATGACCTGATCTGAAATCTCCATAGATCTTTACAGGTAGAACATCAAAAACTTCAAAAAATGTGGCTAAGTATAGAATTCAATTTATACACAGTACTTACGATCTCCCTCTAAAAACAATGTCAACATTTTTGTTGTGCTTGCTTATCTTTACTTTGCAAATAAGAATCTAGTCTTTACATTTATTTTTAAAAGCCCAAAGTGTACCTCTAAAACAAGTGGTGGCCTAATGAGAAAACCTAGCGTAAGTGAAAATATGGGAGTAGAAAATGTTAGGTGCATACCATGGGAAAAAAATACATAGTAAGTTTGGGTCAATAGTCCTCAGGAAAAGAAAGAAAAAATTTAACCAGCATCTATTCAGTCTCCCAGCAAATATTTATGAAGCACTACCAATGCCAGTTTACATTCCTGTTAAGAGACACTGAATGATACAATGTCACTGGTGCTATGTGCTGTAAAAATAAAGTGGGGCAAAGGATTACAGAATGAGGGTGTATGTGTTAGGTTTTAGATGGAAAAGGCCTCTGAATATTTGCGCAGCTACCTGAGTGAATGAGCAATGAAAAAGTTTGCGGGGCAAGTGTTCCCAGGAGGAGAGATTGCAAGTGCAAAGGCCTTAAAGTAGAATTTCTTAGTATCTCTGGGAAACAGTAATGGCAGTGGAAATTGGAGAGGTAGGCTTATAAGCCTTACATGGGAGCTCAGATTTTATTTTTTAGGTGTGAAGCTTTTTAAAGGAGCTTACTCTAGAGTAGTATCTGACATATTTCTAAGGATTACCTTGATGGTTGTGTTAAGACTTTAGCATTCAATAACATACCAGTTGTTAGGGAACTTCACATCAATCCTGCAGCTATAGCAGTATCAGAATTAAAACCCAGGTACATTAGCTTCATTATGTGTGTACTTAACCTCACAGTACACACCGTAGCTAACTAGTCTGGAATGGAAGAAGGGATACCATTAAGAAAGTTGATAGCAGCTTGGGTGAGACCGAGAGCAGTAACTTCCTATAGCAGGAATTCATTTCCCCCAAATCTTGGGATTTTTATGAATAGGGTAATTAATAAGCAAAGTGGTACAATAAAGGGTAGTTAACAGAAAAATTAGTGAACATGGCTTTTTTAGGAAAAGGCTTTCACAATTGCCAGTTCAATATTTGTTAACGGACTGCATAAAATTACACTGTTCAGAGAATGCTGCCTCTGAGTTTTATTTTGACTCTACACTACAGTTAGAAGATTTCACTATGTTAAAACCTTAATTTGGACCAAAGGTCATGTCTGAATTTTACTTAAAAAAAGAAATCATTGCTTTCAACTACTTATTATAATAACAAAACCCCACAAGTTAGTTTAGCTTTCCAGAGGGTTCAGGGCTCAACTGCAGGTGTTTGGTTCTATCAGCACCAAGAACAACAAACTCTTAATCTTTTACCCTTTAATCAGGACAGATTTCAGTAGAATATTTGTCACAAAAGGCTACTTATTAAATCACTGGGAAAGAGAACTTCCTCTTCACAGATATAAATTCCTACAAGGTTAAATCTTCCTCGATTATGAGCAACTGCTTTCAGATGCAAATATCCATGAAAAGAGTAGTTTTTTATACATAATATTTAATTGGAAGGAAGAAAGAACAAATCCCCTAAGAATGTGAATCTAGCTCCGAATTTGAAAGGGAGTACGGCCTAGTTATAGTAAACAGAAAACAGTGTCAAAGAAAGTGTGATAGAAATTATATAAATAATGCCAGATAGTCTGGAAGTAGGAATATTGTAAACATTGAACATAATCATAAAGTAACTTTCCACAGAATAAATATATCATAGTTCTAAAATTCCTGGAATTGACACAGACATTGGCTCACTCAGAGCTATTCCTACAATACAGAAAAGGATTATGTCAGGAATAAATTCATTTAGTATCAGCTGAACATAAAGTTGGTTAAAGCCCAAAATGCTCGGAGGGATTTTGCTAAAATGGATATGATTTAAAGTCATTTTATTTTGTTAATATTTTGAATGGTAATAAAAGTGATGGCAGAGTTATGCTCAACTGATGAAAATTATTCTAATGATTAACAAACTATTTGCTAATTGATTTTTCTGTTTAAGATTATATAAAATAAGTATATTCAGGTTAACAATAAATTTGAGCATATGCTAATTGTACTTGTGCACAGTGTAACGCAATTTTCATCCTACCTGAAATCACATGCTGTAATAAACTCTGCTCCTCCACCCAATGCCCAACCTTGAACCAGTGCAACACTTATTAAAGGAAGTCTGTATATTGAAGGAAAAAGGGAAAATGTGTATTAACATTTTTCATTTCAATATTAATCTGCAAGTATTACTTAAAAACTTAAGATGCAATAGAAACAAAATTATTGAGCTGTTTATAATAGGAAACAAATAAGGGACAGCCAGTGCATCATGAAGAGCAGAACAGTATAATACTAAAGATAGACTAATTCATGCAGAATGCCATGTAAATTTATTGAAATACCTCCCTGAATCATCATATATTTTTAAGTTGTAGTTGGCCTGTAAACTTATTCCTAATAAATAAATGGATGCTTTTGGATAATATACAGCTCTCAGAACTTTCAACTACTTACTGGCAATTAGGAATAATTCAATGTGATATTGTCTTAGCCCATTTTTATTGATATCATTATATATGGAAAAGTTAGGGCTGTATCCAAAGGGAGGAAATGTGGCACAGAAGAATGAGTTCCCAAAATGTGTTATAAAGGTTCCTATATTTTCACTACTCACTGAAATGATCCATAGACAATTCCTATGTAAAGGAATGGTTCTGTGGTAAAAATAAATCTCTCTACCTTTCCTGTATGCAAAGACCCACTTTGCAGTGTAGGACTGTGTCAGTGTTAAAAGGTAAATCTAAAGTGTTTTGAAAATAGGGATTATTTTTTGGTAGGTTCTAACTGAAATTCAAAGCTGTAGCTTTAAAGTAACTACAAATTTACACTGCTCCCAATTTTTTAAAATATTTTAAAAAACTCAAGATTTATCTAAGAAAAAGTCAAATGTAATAGGGAAATGTAGGTGAACAGCTGCCAATAAAGAAGTATTTTAGAATAGTAATATGATTCCTTCATTCTTTTTAGACTCCCATATGAAGAGCAACAAAAGTACAGTGATGGCCAATTGGTTAATATACTAAATAAGTATGAAATTCCTTGGTTTTTGTAATTTTGAAGTTTCCAGTTGGAATACAGAAGTAGAAAGCTAATCAGCCCAAACTTGTCATTTGTAACCCCAAATGCATAGTGATAGGCCAAGAAGAATTTTCTCCTTTTGCTTGTTCATTTAGGTGCAAAGTAAATCCATCCTCCTCAGGAATCCATAGTTCTTTTTCTCTCTCTTCTAAATACATACCACTTCACTATACACTCTACTAATTTTGATTAGGTAACCTTTATGTCATCTTTTGATCGCATCTTTATTCTGCTATAATATCAGTATCTTTTCCATCTCTAGCAACATACATAAAACTAGTAAAATAAGCTCATTAGGGAAAAGTGCTGTCTTAAGTTTTTTTTTCTTTCATTTCTCTTGTTTTTAAATACTTGTATATATACTTGCTAACGCTTAAACAATTACTGTCGGCACAAATAGGTCATCATTAGAATAAATACAATTTAAAAGTCAGCTCTTTTAACTGGTGCAGCACAGAATAATAAAGAGCTATTTTTGGTTTTTTAGAAATTGTATTTTAAAAAGCAATTACATTACCTCTTAAGTCTTGTTAAGGTGTTTTGCATGAACATACATAAGGCTACTCCATCCTTTAAATAAAAATAAACACAAAGGTGTAATGCAAATGTACTATATAATTTTTTTTTTTTATTTTCAGGAGTTAGAAGCAAAGTCAAAACCACACCTAACATTTTTTTATGAGGTTTTCATTTAAAACTCTTTGATGCTGTCTGAAATGCAAATGATGCAGTTTTTGATGTTTCTTTTCTAGGACTCGACCTCAGCTCTGCATGGGGCATTAGCAAAGACTTAGATATGAGAGTTAAATCAAATAACTGAGAAGAGTGTGGAGTTATATTGAGGGTCATATGGAGGAGACATGAAATATACCCATCTATTATCCAAAACTCTGATCCCCTAAGAATATAGACATAAAAAAACAATTTCTTAAAGGCAGTCTATACTCAAAGCATTTTTGTTTCTCTTCTTTAGGCTAGTATAATCTGACCTTCAGACTTCTCAAGACTCTCCTCAAAGGTTTCTAATAGTCTTCAGCTTGTTAGGTGAAATGGCTTTTCCTTTTCTTATCTTTCTCTATTTCTCTGTAACAAATGGTATTTTGCTTTGACACATTTCTTTATTTTGATACTATCAGTTTCTAGTAACACTGTCCATCCTGATTTTCTTCTTAATTCTTTCATTGTTCTTTTCCAGTTTTCTTTTTGTCTCTTATACAGCTAAATCCTCTAAATGCATGTATACCAAAAAATCCAATCCATGATTCTCTTCCCCATCTTTTTCTACAATTTCTTTGGAAATCTGACACATTCCATTGTTTCAATTATTGTTTTCAGAGTCCCAAAACCTACTAGAAATTTCACATTCTGCCAATATTTCATATTCAGCATGGCAAAACAGCTGAGTTTGAATCCTAGTATTATCACTTTTATAAAAACATGAACTTGAGCAAGGCATAACTATGAACTTCAGTTTCCTCATCCATAAGGAAGGAATAAGGAATAAAATATATATATACCTGTTCTATTTGACTTAAAGAACAGTTGGAAAAATAAACACACAGGTGTAAGCAAGTTATGAGTTAACAGAAAAAGGTCTTGTCAATAAGGCTCATAATTTTGGTATTATCTTTGCCTCTTCCATTTCACGGTTCTTCCACACTAAGTTACCAAGCATGTCCCCCAAATTCCTCCTTCGAAATATTTCCAATATAATCCCTTTTTTTATTTTCACTGTCATTACACTAGTTCAGACTTGTGTTACTCATGCTCAGATTATTACAACAGCCTCGCTTCCCAAATTGCCTATATTTAACTTCTTTTTCTTCTGCAATATGTATTGTATCCTGCTGCCTGATAAACCTTCCTATAAAATGATTATTTCATATCACCAATAAAATAGTCTAAATTCCTTGGGAAAGACTGATCTCAAACTGTTCTACCAACTTTACTGACTACCGTACCGCTCATCCACGCATCCTAACTTCATCCACAACAAACTACTTGCCATTTCTTTAACAGTTTACACTTGTTCCTGTGTCTTTGCTCGCATCATTCCCATTATTCCAAAGAAAGAGCCTGTCCTTCCCTCTACATATTTTAGGGAGTGCACATACCAAATATTTTCCATCACCATTTTCTAAATCCCACAACAATTAGTTTTCTCCTTTGTGTTCCTGTGATATTTTTGTTTTTGTTACCTAATTATAGCACTTACAGGTTGTCTTGTATAATGCAGGATCAGTCTTGCATTGTGTTTGGATTTGTTATTAGGCTCATCTACACAAGATAAGGGCTACGGACTATAGTAAGTGGAATATGGTCCCAGTTCCTATTCCTCAAAAATCTTAATAAAATATTATGAGATAAAAAAATGCAACACATTGAGGTATAGTATAAATATTTTTTAAAATGCTTGAACTGAGAAAAGTACCAAGTAAGAAACAATTCATTTCAGTTCGTTGGGGTAGTTGGGGAGGCTTCATAAAGTAGGAGGAGAGATAGCGTTTACTTAGGTTTAGGCAGTAAGTTCCCTGAGGTTGGTAAAATACCCTCTTTACCTCAGAGGCTGGTACAATGTTTGGCTACATAAAGTATGTGCCTGATGAACTTAACTGAGTCAGACGACTTTTAGATGGATAACTATGCTGACTTATAAAACAAATGCAGTCAACAAATGGTAAAAACCAGCACGGTACCTATTCCTAAACAAAATCCTTTCTCAGGAAGGGCAGTCTATATTCCTAAACAAAATCCTTTCTCAGGAAGGGCAGTCTATATTATAAAGTGATAAGAAAATACAAACACAAAAAGCCAGAGATTTAAAACTGAACTGATTTATATTCTATTAAAAACCTGTCCAATAGAGCCTGTTAAAGGATCTCAAAATAATTTTAACAGGCCTATTTTCTGTTACTATGTTTAGGACTTAAAATTCTGATGGAAATATTTAGAATTGATAGAAATGAAAGTGAAGCAGGTATTAGCATGTGCCCTGTTATAATTCTCATTCAAAAGTAAAAGTCACAGTAAAAATGTTTAAAAGCAGTATGTAATAATGGTTAACCACACAGACTCTACAGCCAAACTGCCAATGAGCAATAAATCCCTACTTGTGATAGAATAAATTGAAGGAAAGGAACCAGTGAAAAGCTAGACTTGCCCTGATAAATGACAGTTGGAAGCTGGCAAACACTAAAAAAAGGTTAGTAGAGCTGCTGCAAGAGGTGGCATTTTCATCCTTTCTGGATGATACCCTGAGACCCAACCCTACTTTTCCAGCTTTTCCCAGAGTAACAGAAATAAGGAGCACAGAACTCAGCCTAAGTGCCAAGGGAAATATAGTAACATCCTATTTTCTCTAAGCCACATTTATCTTAAGTGGAAAAATGCCCAACCTGTGAAAGTATCTTCTCCTAGAACCATAAACAAGCCTCTTTTTTTCCCCATCCTTGCTATATGGACTTATTATATACTTTGGAAGAGCTGAGAGAAAACTGTAACAGCTTATCTATAAATTAATAAGCCTAAAATGGGACTGTTCAATAGTATTAACCAAAACAATAAAGTTAGACAAGAACTTTGAGGTTACTGTAGAAATGTAAGCAATGAGAAATAAGGAGCAATGGACTGGCAGAGAAGGAACAAGGTAGGTCAGGGGGAAAAGGATGTTTTCAAGCTACATTAAGTGTATAAAGGTTTCTAAACTGTTAGGCTTTTCCTTGAGGTATAATACTCATTCAATGCAAAGTAAGATGGTTTTTATCTCCCCATATCTTAAAGCTTGTAATTGGATTTTGATTATTTTTGCCCTCTGAAAAAAAGACATTGTGATCTACAGAACATCTGTGATAGCAAATCCAAATCTTATAATTGGGTTAATATTGGGTTGGCCAAAAATTCGTTTGTTTTTTTCCATACAATGGCTCTAGTAGCGCTTAGTTGTCTTTAAAAACAATTTTACTAGATTGTATTGTGACAGCTGTCATATCAGCATGCTTTAAAAAAAATTTATCAAAATTGGTGAACTTTTGTGTAGCCATTTTAATATTGAAGATGGAAGAAAATAAGCAACATTTTTGGCATATTATGCTTTATTATTTCTAGAAAGATAAAAATGCAACTGAAACACAAAAAAATGATTTTTGCAATGTATGGAGAAAGTGTTGTAAGTGATCCAATGTGTCAAAAGTGGTTTGTGAAGTTTTATACTAGAGACTTCTTGCTTGATGATGCTCCACAGTCAGGTAGACCAGTTGATTTGAGAGAGCTCAAATCAAGACATTGAGAACAATCGTTATACCACATGGGAGATAGCCAACATACAATATACAAATCAATAAAGTTATTGGTGAATATGAAAAATGTGTCTTTTATTTTACAGGGAAAAAAAACTGATACGGACTTTTTGGCTAACCCAATACTTACATTATATCTTTGCCTACTTTATTCATTTCTCGGTCCCACAACTTCCCAGGCTAATAATGCTTGTGCTATGCTAATCCATCTCTCTGCCGGGACCTTCTCAACCAAGGATTAATTGACTAGTAGGGACAGTTGAACTATTTTCCTACTCCTTAAACAAAGGATACCGAAATGAAACTAACTTCTTAAGAGACCAGCTACATAAAAAAAGTGGAATGATGAACAGATATAATAAAATGTTGATGGTCGCTGATGCTCTAATGAATATGTAAGGGTTTCACTATATTAATCTCTCTACTTTTGTTGATAGTTGATCATTTCCATTAATAAAACATTTTTTAACTGAAAAAATACAGTTGCAAAAACAACGTTTTTTTAAAAACTGCCATTTAATAATCACTTTCAAGTATTTTATTGTAATTCAAAAGTAATCCAATTGCTAAAATCATCATGGACAAAGGCAAATTCACCAAATAAGCAGATGCTACTGATGTATCTGCAACAACGAAGAGTAAGTATACTCTTGGCTGTGAGGGGCAGGTGCATTTAAACATGCAGCTGCAACTCATACACATGGATAAACCTCAGAAGTCCCGATGCCACTTTATATCTCAGTGTTACACATATTTATAGTTATTTCTCAGACTAGAAATACAGGCTATATGAGAAACAGGAATACTTATCAGGAACTTTATATGCACTGTTTCTAGTGCTTATTAATTTTAAAATCATTGTAAAACAAATATACCCCATACTATATACATATTACTGTGCTTCTTAATATTACCTGTAAGAGAACTTTATTCTAATTGCTTATTTCTGTGCTGTGTATTTCCTATACTATTAACATATTTTTCCGTGTATAATGCACACTTTTTTGCCCAAGTTTTTGAGGGAAAAATAAGGATGCACATTATACATGGGTAGTACTTGAAATACATTCTATCTGTTCTTGTGTTCTGTAATTAACATAAAATTTCTTATACCGTAAATATGTTCAAAAATAAATGCTGAAATTCCTTTATAATACAAAAAAAACCCCAAGTATCTAAATATAAATAAGTAAATAAATGAATTAAAAATTAAAACAAAAGATTTTTTTTCCTGAAAGTTTGGGCCAAAAACATGGGTGCACTTTATACAGAGGAGTGCATTATATATAGCAAAATACGGTAATAGGCAGATTGCATAAAAGTACAAGAAAGGATCCATCTACCCAGGAAAATGCTTTAAATAAGACAAAGTATTTTAAGTACTAAGCTGGGTTCTAAGATACAGATTCTAAAGTAAAATGACAACTCCAGATTTTTTTTTATGAGGCTGGCAGATGTGTGTAACTACAAGTGACAGACACCTCCAGTGCTATTTTAGCATTGGGGCCACACGACCTTAGTTGTCAGCTGTTGATCAAAAGTTGATCCTGCTCTATTGCAGGCATTCAAGAGGGCAAATAACTTGGAGAATGTCCATACTAGAAAGAATGAACTTTTTAAAGTGATCCCTTATCTTACGCCTGTATAAAAACCACACATCTTCTTACACAACTTAGATCATTAGCATGTTTCCATTTTTAGCTTTTACATACACAGAGGGAAAAACCCTGGCCGCATCATCTGAAGAGATAGAAACAACCTTCTAACTAGAAGACAACAAAATAACCTTCACCTATTTAGGGATATTTTCCTACCTGAGTTGTGTCAGACCCACAATAATTTATTATCTCATTCTGTCTTTACAGTGTCTTTTGTGAACAAAGTAGGGTGCCTAGTAATACAATCATTCTGGAGATGAAAACTTAGAATCAAATGACTTGCAGGTCAGACATTTAATTAGAGCTCGGGCAAGAACCCATACATTCAATTTTTCAGCTTCGTGCGCTAACCATTCGAACACCTTACAAATTTAAGTCTAGCGGTGCTACAAATTATGAACCATTTCATAAATATTTAATAATATCAAGAGCTTCGAAATAAAAATAACTACATTTTTCAGACACTGTGCTATAAGTCACTTTATATGTATTATTTTGAAACCTCACAATAATTCCGTGAAAGATATAATTCCTAGTTATAGATTAGGAAGATAAAACTTGGAAAGATTAAGTGATTGCCCAATAACTTAGCCAGAAAGTGCTGAAGCCAGCATTCAAATCCAAATCTATCGAAGTTACCAAAAGAGAAGTCTTTTCTCACACATTTATGCAAACAGAGGTTATAAACTATACAGGGTGGTGTGAAAGTTGTAAAATACCAAAGAAGCAACTCTTACCCTTTGTGACAGCATGGAAGGAACTGCAGAACATTATGCTAGGCAAGAATAAGTCAGTCAGAGAAAGACAAGTATCATATGATCTCACGCGTATGTGGAATCTAATAAAAAAATAAACTGAGGAACAAAATAAAAAGAGGCATGGACACAATGGAACTGGTCAATAGATGGTGGCTGTGGGGGGGGGGGCCACTCAAGGCTGGGGGCGGGGCTTGGGGAAGGAGGGGAAAAGGAGGGGACATCTGTAGCAGTGTCAACAATTTTTTAAAAATAAGAAAAATAAAACAAAATAATACAACTTCCCTTCTTATTACCTAAATATAGCCCACTTCTATAATTAAATGGCAACGAATACATGTTTTCCTCTTCCTTGTCATTTCTCTCTCCCCTTCTTTCTCTCATTTTGTTTTGTTTGTGTGTTTTTTTTTTTTTTGGCATAGGTGTTGTGGGTGGAAGCCTGAATTCAAGAAAAAGGGGTTCCTTTGAGGACTGATAATGGAAGATGACTAGGCCTTTTTTTCTATAGAAATAATAATTAAAAGCAAATTTCTAAATTGTTACCACCTGTTGAGGCCTACTGTGTATCAAAACTATGATAGATACTTTATATTATAACTCATGTAAAATTCCTTATCAGGAGATGCTAAGGAGCTTTCACTTAAGAATTCAAATTCTTGCTGAATTTAATAATGTATAATACTTTGGTTATTGCTAATCTTCCAGTCCTTTTCTATCTCCTTTCAGTACGTCACACTATTGTAACCTAATCTTTAAGCAGCAAAACAAAATTCTGATCCTTGAAAAGCTATTAAAGATTAGCTGTCATCATAACAACCATATAAATAAGATATAAATATCTCAGCCATATATGTCTGATAATCTTGTAGAACCCATTATACAATTCATATATACTTGCCTCTGGAGTTCCAAGTGCTTTCACAGCATTCAGATCAGATCCGGAGCAGAAAGTATTTTTTGCCCCACAGACAATGAGACCTTTCCCTTCTGTCCAATTTTCCAATTCAATCACTTTTTCCAAAAGCTGTACCATCATAACACCTGTCAGAGAGTGCAGGGGGAATCACAAACAGCTAAGATACTCGGAAAATAGAAATAATTTAGAAACCATAAGATCATTCATTTTATAAATATTTGCTGAATGTCAAATACCTATAGTATTTTATAAATATTTGCTTAGATCATTCATTTTATAAATATTTGCTGAATGTCAAATACCTATAGTGTTGGCACTATTAGTATATACAAAAGAGGTATACGTAACAGTGCCTGCTTTAAAAGTTTACAATTTGTTAACAATCTAACTTAATTAAGAAATTACACAAATGTATGGTTATGTAGAAAAATGAGAATACATCATATATGTCCTAGGAATACGAACACTGAAATCAGTACTATAGAATATGGTGTTAAGAAAATATATTCCTTAGTGTAAAAATGAAATATAGGCCTGACTTCACAGTAGTATACAGTCTTAGTCAACAAACTCATAATGAGTTATTTCAATATCCCTAATTCAATTATATTATTTCCTAAGGGTATGAGATCTTATTGATAATATTAGGCAGATAGTAAACAAACAAGCAAAAAAAAGGAGCCATCCTGACCCTAAATATCATCTTGTTCCATGGTTGACAAACTGCTTGTAAGCCCAAGGTATACAATGAAAACACTTGGTAGAATGCCAATAAAATGCCTAGGAAACATTAATTCTATGATTTAGAGATTAGCTTGTTACCTTAATAGCATTCAAAAGTTCTATTGGAGTTTCTTTACGATAGACAAATTTAAAATGGACATAGCAGAGACTGTCATTTATACTTATTTGTGGAAATCTTCCAAGTTTGAAAAGTTCATATTGCTCTCAGCATGATTCAATTTACTATTTCCTCTGCTTAAGAAGATGCTTTAGAAGCCAATATAAATCATAACAGAGGGTTAAAACTGGCAAAATCTCTACCACAAGCTTCCAAAACTTACTATGTATAGCTCATTAAATTATGCTCACTTCTTAGGAATCTAAAACCCATAATGTCAAGAACTGTTATTTTCTTTCCCATTCTTTTTTTCCAGGAGTGAAGTAGTCCCACAATGAATAATGACTAATGCAGCTATCCTTTCTAATTGCTAATTATGACCTAGTTGAAACAGCAGACCTACCCAAGACATCCTAGGTACTTTAGAAATACAGTTCTTGCTATCAAAAGATTTATAGTCTAATAGGTTTTTTTTCTTTTTACAGAAAAACACACATTGAGGGTAAGAATAAATCTATATAGGTCAATATGGACCTTCAATCATCCCTAATATTTAAGCTTCAAAAAAATAATGCTGGCCTCGAGTGTGAGAAATCTATACCAATAGTTAATTTTGAACTCATCTTTCTGACTTTGTAAAATACATGTTAAGAGTTGGAAGGGACCTGAAAGAGTATCTAGTTGGGCAATTTTCAAACAACGGCCTTGGGGGTTGTGTGGTATGGGGCTCAGTCATCATCCCCCAACCTAACAAAACACCATTATCCACATTAATGCATAATACTTGCTCGTATTTGTTTTAATTAGGAACCAAATTAACAGTTGTTTCCATTTGAATAAAAAGTTTTGCTAATGTAAGTTATTTGTAGCTATTCAGTAGTACATTAAAACTATTAATCTAATCTAATTCTTTAGAACAGGTTTATCTTTCTAACCTTATTTTTCCTATGCTAATGTTAATATCCTAGGCTTTTATTTCAGAACTCATTGAAGGTATCAAACTGCACTGTTCAATTAAGTAGCTGCCACCATATGTAGCTACTATAACGCACTTGAAATGTAGCTAATCGAAACTGAGATGTGCAGTAGGTGTAAAATACACACCAGATTTCAAATACTTGGTATTTAAAAAAACAAATCTTTAATTTTTTATATTAGTCACATGTTGAAATCTTTTTAATATACTGGGTTAAATAAAAAATTAAAATTAATTTTACCTGTTTCTTTTTACTTTTTAAAATATGGCTACTACAAAATTCTAAATTACATTTGTGTCTTGCATTACACTTCTCTTGATTAACACTAACAGAGCTAGACATCTATGAATTCTGCTGAGTAGAAAGTCATCTTTGATTTAAAGATCCACCATAGATAATTTATAGTTTACAATCTTTTGAATTATGTTTATAGGTATGACTAGATATAAATACATGAAAATGTATTCAGGTATTTTTGAGTCCAATGATTTCAAATGCTATTATTGAATATAATTTACCCTCATGAAGTACATAAGTGACAAAGAGAGAAATTGTCTAAATTGTCTTGAAATACAAGGGCTGGGTATTCATTATTCATGAGGTTACTCATGAGGTTACTAATTACTAATGAGGTTACTCATTAACTTTTGCAAAACCCCAAGGTAACATAACTGGAATTTCAGCTTTAGCAAAAAATTACAAATTACCATATATCCTGGACCTTCAGGTCTCTTAAATATGTAATTCTTATATGCCAAGAGGGCTGCGTAGCAAAGAGAAGGTATTTACCAGTATCTAAGAGTTAGGGAAGGAGCAACAAATAGGCAAGGGAAGTTTTTCATTGAAAATATTGGAATTACATGGTTAAAATCACAGTCTTATTTCAACTCACAAAAAAATTTAAGCTAATCAGTAATTTCTTTTTTAATTGATAGGTTTTTCTCTTTAGTTTTTTTTAAAAAACCCCACCTTTTCTTTGTTTCCCAGTAATACTAGCTGAATACAAACAAATGAAGTTATTAAGCAGTTAATACATTTGAATGGGAAAAATAATCAAGATTCATCTGAGTTTCCTTTTCATTAGCATCTGTATTCATGGATTTTTTTTTTTTAAAGAAAAACATTAAAATTTCCACAATTAGTAACAAATGTTCCTGGTTCACATGACAGTTTTGTTTTCATGTTGCACGAAGACTCCATGACTCTCAAGAATTAATGTCACCAGAATAAAGATAAGAGTTATGTAATGGTAGGTTAGATTTAGTGTTACTCTTCAACAAGGAAAGCTCTATACCCGAAAAGGCATTCCTTTTACTTGGATTGTTCAGAGTAAGAATGCCAATGCCACTGTCTTCCTTCTGAAGGTCTATGGATCCCCCAGGAAACTGCTGAAGTTTTTCCTTTACTTTATCTTCATGAAAGCCATGAGATATATTATAAAGTGATAATCCTGTTTGATGTAGCAATTTTGTCCCCAGAGACATAGATGGTATCTTCAAAAGACTTTTTGCCATTTCTGGAAGAGACACAGATACATAGTAGTCCAGATGAACACACACTTTTGTAATATTATGTTAATAGAGCTTTCTGTTTAATTGGGAGTACTTCCCAACTTCTAAAAGCACTCTTTGAAGAGACAGATGGTCAGTATGGAATTCTTTTCCTTTTCCCCTTTTCTCAAACCAAATAATTCACAAAGTATACCATTTCAGGACTATATCACTGAGATGGTAACATAGTTACAGTGTACTTTGGAGAATCTACACACCAGGAAGGTTTAGAAGAATGTTGCTGTTCTATATTCAGCACCATCTCCTACCTCCAGGTAATCTTTCTCTTGACAGTAGTTATTTTTCCAATTCTAACGTTTCCAAAATGTAAGAAGAAATTCAATCCAAATGCCCACTTTACAGTCTCAATGCAGAAATGTTACAAGAGAAATCCCATTCTCTCAGAGAAATTTGATTCTTAGCATTATCCTTACTTTATCTAATGTTTTCATTGAAAAAGCTGGAAGGGGTTCTGAGGAAAATGGAAAGAAATATGAATGTGTGTGTGGTTTCTGTGTTCCATGGGGTTCTGTCACTCTTCTCTCACTTTATGTGTATATCCTAGGTAATCTCAACTCTGCCTGCAGGCATTGTACCTTATGTAAGCATTGCTGTTGACACAAAACATACACTCAGAAAAATAAGTATTTTTTTAAAAGTTTACTCAATGAACTTTCACAGGATGAATATATTTAAGCAGATAGCGCTCAGTGGACAACATGAATCTCAGGTTTCTTGTGCCACTCTTCAATCACCAACCAAATAAGGATAACTATCTTGACCTCTAATATCCAAAATTAGTTTGCCTGCTTTGAATTTTATATAAATTGAAGACTATGGTATATTCTTTGTGCCTGATTTCAGCTCTCTCCCCCCCGCCATACTTTCTCTCTTGAGAAATAACTAGCCATTCTCTTAAAGCCCATTCTCTTAAAGCCCATTACATATTCTGAAATTTAGTAAACCAAAAAATTAACACAAATGCATACTTAATAAGAAAACAATGAGCCTAATGTAGGTAGTAAACAACACAAAATCAGAAATATTCTATTTCAGTCAAAATATGACTTTAAAGTTTTGATTTGGTTTTAGGCTCTCATTATATAATCCGAATTTCATTGCAGCCATACATGCCCATCTTCCTCATACAGCCAAAATTAACTTCCTTCAGTTCCTCACATTCTTCAGGTGTTCTCTTCATTCCAAGCCCTTCACCTGTTACACTTTCTTTTCCCTCAGAGTAACTCCAAACCATATCCTTTAATACTCTAGGCTACGTAAAATACTCTTTCTTATTGCCCATTCTCCTTTATATTCTTTATTTACTCACACTTTTCCGTAATTACTCCCTTAACCAAATTGTCCCACTAAATTATACTACAGGAAGGCATTTGCTTGACTGTAGAGCAGCGCTTGACAAATGATATCTGTGAATAATCAGTTGGCATACAAGGCTTAAGAATCCATAATATCATAGGAGGTTTAACGGCTCCCCACTAACCTGTTTGTTATTCAAAGCACTAACCCTCTTTAGACTCTCCCTCTCTGCAAGGTAGTTTCTTCTACGGGAGAGAAGGGTGACTGCCTGTGCTCCAGGGGATCTTTACAGACTTGTCTTTCAAGTAAAACCTGAAGAACACCTCAGGCATTTGACCTAATTATTATGCTCCTCCCTGCCCCCGTAGATTTCAAAATTTCTACCTTTCCCCTATCGCTTACCTCTTCAAAGAGAGGTACAGGTCGTCACACAAGGGAGTGTTCTAGTGAAAAGGGCAAGATGACTTAAGAGGAGCAGCCTAGCCAGAGACCCCTCCCAGGTTAACTGTTAATCATTGCTTATCTGCTTCTGTAGCCCGTTTCACAGCCCTTCCCCCGCCTGGGTAGCACATCAATCTCATCAATCTCCCACCTGAATGCTAATCCCCCCCCCCCCCGGAAGCCCATCCGTTTCCCGCCGGAATGCTAGGGCTTATAAACCCCTATCTAACCCCGATTCGGGGCTCAGAATTTGGAGACTGCCTCCTCCGAGCCTGCGCGTGTGCATAAAGGCTTACTCCGTTCCCTGAATCGTGTCCTGAGTCTGGCTTTCCGTAACACTAGCACCTGGAGCATTGGTTGGTAAGTAGCAGGCTCTCCTGATGTGTGAGGGGAGACAGGAGGTGGGAGGGGATAGATGTAGATTTTCTCTCGAAGTCTTATTAGTCTTTTCAACACGTAAGTAGTCTATGGTTTTGATCCCCTATATTTGTTACCTTGTATGTGTGTTATTGAAGCTCAAAAAGCTTCTAGAAGAACACATTCTAAAAAAGAGCTGGACTTTTTTTTGTTGTTGTCATCGTTGAAAGGTTGGCTGCACAAACGATGTTAAGTTTTAGTTAAGACAGATAATTGAATGCATAGGTAGCGAGAAAGACAATTACAGAGGTCCTTGGGAACATTACCTGCCCAGGACCGTAAATCTGCAAACCAACAGAAAACTCTGCCATCTCATAAATGCTCCCTTTTACCAGAAACGCAGTATATCGTGTCGGCCAAATCCCCAAACGCCAAGCCAACCCTGGGGCTTCTCAACCTGTATGTAACAGTGATTGAAGCAAACATCATATACCAGTTAAACAATGATTACAGAATAGGCTGTACTAACAAACGCACAGGAGATTCAGGTACTAAAAGTTCCCTTAGAAGTATTTTCCCACATAGCAGCAGTGAAACCGGATCCAGCGATAAAACTACAGGACGACGCACGCGGGAGGAAACATTGAAACCACCCAGGGGCAGAGCTGAGAAACAGCCCACTGCCGGAAATGCCTTAGTCCCCTCCTCCCACAGGGTTCCCCTGTGCAGACTAGCCAGGACGCCTGAGAGGCTAACGCGGACTTTGAGACTAGCGTCCCTCATCTTCCAGGCTGCCGGAAAACCACTTTCCTTTACATCCCCACCTGCGAGTATTGGCTTTCGGTTACAAACCGACACAGGCTGCCTATGTGGCCCAGCCAATCTGATATTTCCTGTCTCTTATTTTCTTTACTCTTTGTCCTATAAAATCTTTGGTCTTGGGCCCCGTTTTGCAATTCTTGGGGACCGTGTGCTTCACGGCGTCTGAAAAGGAATACATTTGTTTGCATCAGCTAAAGTGTTTTCTTTAGCCATTTAACACTACCTCTCAATTCGGCTCTTTCTCCACATTCTCTAGCAAGTTTTCCCCACCCGCCTCCTCACCTGCCTAGGTCGGGCTGCAGCGCTGGGCACGGCGACCCCACGCCCAGCAGAGGGCAGTGGGCGGCGCGGCGGCGGCGCGGGGACTGCTGGGCCTCGGCCGGCCCCGGTTCAGAATTCGTGTGGAGGAACGCTAAAGTCCGTTACACAGCGACATGCTGCAGTTCTCTCCTAGACGACACGAAAGTACAGACCCTACAGTGAAGGTCTTGGAGGGCGCCGGGCGCGGACAGTCCCTTCTCTGCCCCGCCCCCCAAGCCGACTCCCCCGCGCCTCCCGTCGCGCGTCCCTCTTCCGCTTCTGCGCACCACCCTTCCGCTCTGCTACACCCGCCCTCCGCGCCCCGTCGCTGGTCGACCTGTGTCCTCGTCGGTGTCCGAGCGTGCCTAAAACTGGGGTGTCCCATTGTACGTGCTTCGTGTTTTTGGTTCTACGACAGAGGGTTAGAGCTGGTCCCGGGAGCCTGCCAAATTTAACTTCGGAAAAAGGGAAATGAGAAAGGACGGGGCTAACTTCCATAGCCACTGAGAACATCCTTAGCATCTTTGCAGGCAATGAACCTAGGCGGATGATACCAAGAGCACACAAAAAATTTGCAGAAAAATTCCCGTGCCCGGAGGGAAAACCGGGGGGCGGCGGGGGGGGCCGTGCACACGGGGTTGTGTGAATGGCAGCCGTAATCTGTGGACTTCTGTCTCGGGGACTACATTGCCTGCCTTTGTGCGAGTATATGAACCTCTCAGAATTGTGCCAAAACATTAGGGCAAGGAGGAACATCCCTTAAAATTGAGAATATAATTCCTCGTCATCCGTGCAGAACTGGAGCACCAGAATAGAATTGCAACTGATTGAAAGAAAAAGAAATTTCTTGCATATCTGTGTTTATAGCTTGAAATTCATACTGTGTGCTTCTTTCTGTTTCTTTTGTGTGTGTTTTAAATTGTAGTTTGTAATGTGAACCATTTCATATATCTTTTATTTTCCTTAATGCTTTAGAAATTATACATTCTGATTTTAACTCTGCTATGGTTACTTAAATTTCCCAAGAACCTCTGTCAAAGTATAATCTGTTTCTATCAACATGAAGTATAAAATTTGTGCTTACTCATTCCTTTGTAAAATAATTTAGCATTTTTACTTTTTTAACTTCCCTTTTCTTTGTTTTAATCATGTAACCTGGTATTTGAGGCCTGCTTTACATTACAAAAATATTTTGTACATTATCATTTATTTCAGTAATTTTCCAAAGTTGCAGTTCTTGTTTTAGACCATATTTAAATGACTTTAGACTGAATACTATGTTTAAAACCATCAGTTGTTTTATAGCCAACTTCAGCCTTTCATTTTAATTAATCTCTTACTTGGTTACAAAGGGGCTTAAAATTATTTTTTGTGCCCTGACTAGTGTGGCTCAGCGTGTCTGGGGTCGTCCTCCAAACTGAAAGGAGACCACGGTTTGGATTCCAGCTCAGGGCACGTGTCTGGGCGGCAGGCCAGGTCCCCAGCTTAGGGTGTGCAGGGAGACAACCCATCCATGTTTCTCTTGCACAGTGAAGTTTCTCCTCTTTCTCCCTCCACTCCCCTTTCTCTAAAAATAAATAAATCTTTTTTGTTTTTGTTTGCTTTGTTCATTTTTCCCAAGAAGGACATATAGTGTCTATTTTCAAAGGCCATGCATATTTGAGGCAGTCTTTTTGTTTTTCCACATGAACTTCAATGGCTAGTTATAAATTCTTAGGCCACAACTGCCCTTTTCTCCATAGACATTACTTCTTTTCTTCTGGGGGAGAGACCTGAAGCCACCCTGGTATTTGCTCTTTTATAAGAAACTCTCTCTTCTACTTATGTATTTGTGGGACCTTTATACTAAACTTGCAGTGTTCTAGACTACATTATATTTTGTTGTAGATCACAAAATACTGTCTAGGTGTGTATCTTTTTTCAGTGATTCTACTTGGGCTAAGTGAACATTATCTCTCATCTATACATGCAGTATTTTTTTAATCTCCCTGAAGAAAGTTTTCTTATTATTTTTGCAGTAATAACTCAATTAAGGTGAGCTTTCTATTTCTGGCTTCCATTTTTCCAACATTTCTCTAGAAGTCATTTATCTTGCATAACTGAAATTTTGTACTCCTTGACCAACATTTCCCTATTTCTGCCTCCCCCAGTCCCTAGGAACTACCTTTTTCCCTTCTGGTTTGACTATTTTAGATTCCACATATAAGTGAGATTGTGTAGTACTTGTCTTTCTGTCTGGTTTATTTCACTTAGCATAATGTCCTCCATGTTCAAATATGTCTCAGATATCAGTATTTCCTTCTTTAAGGCTGAATAATACTCCAAAGGGTTTTTCTTAAACTCTTACTTTTCTTTTGTTTATGTAATTGAATGAAGTTTTATATCTCTGCATTTATGATGAGCCTTCGGGAGTAGACAAAAGTTTGTTGTGTGTTTAGCTTTGCATTCAAATTGAGAATGTCCTGAGTTCTCATTTTACCTAACTTCATGCAGGTTTAGAAAAGAAATAGAACATGGCTCTATCTCTGAGAAAAATGCTTTACTAATATTCGTGCATGGGACTTCAAAACAGAACAAGACAATTTCTATGTAGATTGCTTTTTCAGAGAATGACCAAAACTCATTTGCTAAAGAATGCCTCCTGCCGTCTTCTGTGAAAAATGAATTTTATTTGACTAATACAGTTTTGCTATTTTTTCAGTATACACTATCTCAAAGTGGAGTCATAATAAAAATATTTCTCATTGAATAAGATTTATAGCAGAATAATGCAAAGAACAATACTCTTCCTGACTTTTCCTTCACCTTGTAAATGTACTGCCCCCTAGTGGCAGTTTACTTATATAACAAACCTAGAAATATATTAGGCTAAAGAAATCTGTGCCTGGTAATAAATACGATTCTTTAAGCTGAAGTGCAATTTTTCCTAAAATTGATATCCTGGAAAGTAGCATAAGATGCCCTTTTAAAATGATTTTCATAGGTGTATAGTGTTATTGTTGCTGCTGCTGTTGCTGTTTTGTACAATTGACTTATTTTGTAGGGTTCTATGCCTCTTTGGCTTTATTTCTCTGCTACCTGCCTTCTTCCATTGAATTTTGTTTAAGCAAAGCATGTTCACAAGGACAATATACTATCAACTGGAATATGATAAGCTTTGTTTTAAGGTAAAATGCTATTTTGAAAAATAAGTTTTAAAAATTTAATTTTGAAGTATGTGATATATATATATTTTCCAAAAGTTAAATGGTGCAAAAAAGTCTTCTTCCTTGCTGTTCTCTTCCTGGTTATCCATTTCAGAACAAGAGAGACGACTAAACAGGAGAGCGTAGTAAATATAAGAATTCCCAAGGATATAGGGTTAGGGTCTGTAAATAATGTAAATTTCCTTCTTAGCATGAGCTGGCTAGAGCTTTTGAGGGAAAAACAAAGCATGCTTTAAAGAATTTACTTTTAGCCTGATTTCCCTGGGAACGCCAGGTCTGGTTTAGGGTTGATTCCTGTATTGTTTCAAGCCTGAGCCAGGTGAGGGGAGGGAGCCGCCAAGCGACAAGGAGACAGCTTTCAGCTAGAATGAGGACTCTGGCCACGTCCAAGCAGAGCTGAGGGGTGCGGGCCTTTTTGCCCTTTCTCCGTGTCCCCCAATTTCTTGTCTGCTGCCAATAATCGATCGGCATCTGTCTTAGGCTGTATACCTCAGCTCGAGGTAACTTACCCGTCCTTGATTAACCAGTCCTCCATGGCAAAGCAGAGAGGCAGGAGCTATGCCCTTGCCATGGCGGGGCAGGTTATGTCTCCTCAGGAGCCTCTTTATCCAAGGCCTCTTGATTATTTCCAGCCTCTGAGCCCTCCTGCCTGTCGGCAGGGTTACAGCCCCTGAAACCAGACAGGGCATCTCCCAGCAGATGACATTAGGCACTCTAAGGGAAAGAAATGAAGATGGTGAATGTGGGAGTAATTACGGTTTATGAACTGATTTTGTAAGTCAGTGAAAGATGAAAGAATCTAGGGACTCAAGTGTGCTAAGTAAAAAGGAAGAACTAAAATGTAAGAGCATGAAGTTAGGCTACGAAGGTAAGAGAAGTCAAATGGGACCCTAATGTACTGAAAGAATACAGAAGAGGCAAGAAAACCAGAGGTCCTATGATGACAGAATAAGCACAACAAATAGGGAGGAAACAGAGAAGGAGGAAAGGAAAAGATAGAAATGAAACCTCGTGATTTAATTTTCAAAATGGAGCAATATAGAGTGTCAGATTGTGACTGAAATGAAATGGAGATTAAAGTTTGGAAATTATGGACCTTGAGAAATTAGGAGGTCAGGCTTTCTGATGAGTCATTTGTATGTGTAATGGCAGGAGATAAAAGGAAGAAGGAAATGATTAGGATCATATTTAAGTTTTGAAAGAAGATGAAAGAAGGGTGGGATATTTTGTAACACGATTGGGAGAAGCTGCAATAAAGCTTTGGAAAGAATAACAATTTTCAAAATTCTGCATCATATTCAAAGTTATTCTGATATTTGACACAAAGATATAATTTGTCTTAATTCTGGGTTACCCAAAACTCTAGTTTTTCTGATTTGCATGGAGCGAACTCACCTGAAAATAAGCTCTTTTTTAGTGTCAACCATTATTTTCAGATTTGCTTATCTGAAGGGTAACGTTTTGAATTTTATAATTAGCTCCCATTCAATAGAATTAAGGCGCTACCTATGGAACACAGCTGAGAGCTGACTACTCATTCAGTGAGCATTATTTCCATAAAGTATTTGCTCCAATATGAAAACAGTATGTTCAATCTTTAATCTATAGACATGTTGGGAAGCGATCGCTAAATTTTGAATGTACCTATCAACAACTAATTATTTTATAATTACCAGTTGAGCAATCAACTGCTAAAATAGAGCCTACATTTCAATATGACTTCAGGACTTTTCATGTCCTAAGATGCTTTGTCTCAGGACACTGATGATCTAGCAGGGAACATCATGGGCATGACTGCAGGCTACTAGGAGAAGGACAAACACTAAACAAATGTCAACAATATAGACATGACTGTAGGCTTCTAGGAGAAGAGCAAACATTAAACAAATGTCACAAGCGTGATTACTGTTGAGAAAAAAAAGACATAGAGGTTTTTTTTTCCCCCCGTAACTGCTTTGTTCATTCTAACTGGCAATAAATAAATGAACACAAAGACTGGGATGAGAAAACAAGTAATTGTCCTGTCAACATCTACCTGAATTCCAAATGAATAAACA